CAAAATCTCACGAAATACTTAAATTTTAGAGGAAAGTGCTAAAGGAAGAAAAATTCTAGATCAGATTTTAATATAAGTCATCAAAGATAAGAATTCTCAATTTCTATTATTTAACAACAAAATATTTGGATCAATGTTGCAAAAAAAAAAAAACCCCGAAGATATTTCCTATTTTTTTCGATCTATGCTTCACTTTCTTTCTTAGACTTCGTGATTGAAAGTAAAATAAAATTTCGTTTTAGGCAAAAAGTCTCAAAAGAAGAATTATTCTACACAAAATTTCATTGTCAATCTCAGAATAAACCATATATCTACATTTACTTGTTTTTAAGAAAATTCAATTCGGGATTTATTGTGAAAATTTATGCGTTTACATATTTTTACCGCAAGACGTTTCCATTCTAGGTTAAAATCTCCCTAAACACTTAATTTTTTGGAGAAGGTGTCAAAGAGAGAAATATTCTAGATCAAATTTCATTGTGAGTCTCCAAACAAAAGAAATGTGTAAACTTAATATGGACCTTAGCAAAATGTAACCAATTTTGAAAACTCCGATAAATTTAGCACTTTTTCAGATATCGCTTGAAATTTGAGTATAATTTCACCAGAAGTTGTACTCTCTATTATTCTTACTTTCTTCTTTTGCGATAGGGCTCAATGCATTAAAACCTAACCTTTCATAAAATGCAACTAACATTTTTTCTCGAGTGTCTCTGCATACATCACATGCAATGCCAACCAAGTGATATGCTTATGGCGACTGGGCTAACAATTCATAGATTATGTTGTGCATGCCTGCGGTTTGTTGGAATGTGTGTGTGTCCGAGTATCTGTAGTACATTGCGATACGACGGTGTTTTGTACAGTTCAACAGTCCAGAAGTATTGTAATTATTACAATTTGTTAAGTCTTTTTTTAAGTGGATTATGTGTTGTTATTTGTATGTTTTTTGAGTGATTGTTTTTCTTGACTTTTGAAATGTGTGTCAAATACATTTTTTTCTTTCTAGCTTTTTTTGGAAAGGAGTTTTTTTTTCTTCATTGTTATCTGCTCGCTGTAATTTATGGAATTTCAGATTTACAGAGAAGGGGAAAGGGGAGGGGGGGGGAGGGCATTTAGCAACTGCCTATAATTTAGGGTTTAAGGCAAAATATGTGAATACGAATTTGGCGGGGAATTATGGTAAAAAGTCCAACATCGTCATAAGCTTTCAATTACAGCAATTTTGTTTAATACAAAAGGAAAAAATAAATTAATATGGGAGGTATGATAAGTGAGCGAGGATGAATATGAGTTAAAAAAAAAACATTTTTTAAAAACTTGGCATTGCCAATTTTCCTTGAAGTCACATTACCATTTGATAACTTTCCAATTGAACCTGTTTGAGTTTTTCCAAACACTCCTTGTTAATTGCTTTTTGAAAATAAATTAAGAAAAATCATAAAAAACCCCATTACAATTATCACGCAATTATCAATTTATTTTATTTAATTATTTAATTAATTAATTTAATTAAATAATTAATGTTATTAATTAATTAATTTTTAATTAATTAATTCTATTTTATTTTTTTTTATTAAAAAAAAATTAAAAAAAAAATTAAAATTAAATTAAAATTAAATTAAATTAAAATTTATTATTTATTATTTTTATTTTATTATTATTATTATTATTATTATTATTATTTTCATTATTTAAAATTAAATTAAATTAAATTAAAAACTTAAAATTAAAAAAAAATAAAAAAAATTAAAAAAAATTAAAAAAATTATTAAAAATTATTAAATTTTTTTTAAATTAATTAATTAATTTTTAATTAATTTAATTATTATCAATTCCAGCAAAAACATAAACAAATCATTGACATTTCTTTCCATGCAACACACACACACAAAAACTAGTAGCTCTAGAAAATTTCAAGTGCAAATAACTGAATTAAATGTCTTCAAAAAAAAAAAAAAAACAAAAATATTTCACATAACATATGGATTGAAGAGGCTTGGTGGATTCTGGTCTGGTATTTGCCAGCAGTAAATTATGTTGGCACAAATTGACTCCTTTCACTTGTAATTCCAGACATGCAGACATGGTCGGCATGTGGATGACGCTGATGCTGATGATCATGATAATGTGGATGCTGATCACCATCGTCATCATCAAAGATCTGCATTAACATGACTTAAAAATTTGTAAACGAAAAAATGCAGTAAAAAAGGCGCCACAATTTTGCAAACATTGCAAGGCGTTGTTAATGAGCCACACAAGCCGACCGGTTGCTGGCCCTATCCCCCGATGCAAAAAGAGCCAACAACAATGAAAAAATAAAAAAATTATGATGTTCCTCAGGAATCTCGCCTGCCAACCAGCTAGCCATGTGTTGTTTGGTTGGCATAAAGTCAACGCCAGACGGAGAAGAAGTAAAAGACCGATACAAAAAGACTTTCACACTCCATGTCTCTTTGGGTATTTTGTAAAATGGCAATGAAAGAATTTGTTTTTTTTTTTTTGAGATGCATCATCCGAGTTTTGTGCGTGTCTCAAAAATTACCATAAAAGTGGTGTGGAGATATAAAAGGTATGTATGAAAAAAAAAATACACTCAAGGGAAATAGAAATTAAAGTCCTGACAAATTTAAGACGTTTCCATTCAAAGACAAAGTTTGCCCAAAAATTTCAAGGAAAGTGTTAAATTTCGAGGAAAGTGTTAAAGGAAGAAATATTCCAGATTAGATTTCGATGTAAGTCACCAAAGAGAAAGAAAGAGAAATTCTCTTTTTCAATTACAAATCAACAAAATATCTGTATTAATGTTACCAAAAGCGCGAAACTATTTAATATTTTTTTGATCAATTTTTCCTCTGTCTTTTTAGTCTTCAGACAAGAAAGAAGAGAAACAAGAACGTCTAGAATAAAAAAATATTCCACACAAAATTTCACTGTTAATCTCTGAGTAAACTATATAAAAAAGAATAATAAAATAAATAAAATAAGAAAAAAATCTGTAAAATTAAAATCCTTAAAAATTCTCTTAAAATCTTAAAAATACCGAATTGAGCCGTATATTGGGGTCTATACGACGACGTGGACCTGCATACGCAACTTTTGTCATAAGCCCACACAGACAATTTTCTTGCATAGGATGTAGTATCCATTACGAACTTTAAATCCAAAATTTGAAATAATTCCGGCAAAGAATGTCGCTAAACTCATCAAAATACCGAATATCGAGGAGTACCGTTATATGGGAGCTATACGAAGACGTGGACCTGCACAGACAATTTTCTGTCATAGGTTGTACTATTCATTATGAAATTCAAATACCAAATGTGAAAAAAGTTCCGGTTAATAATGTCGCTAAAATCATTAAAATTCCGAATATCGGCAGGTACCGGGGACTATGGGGACTATACGAAGACATGAACCTACATGGCTCATTTTCTGACTTAAGCCGTAGTATCTATTACGAACTTTAAAAATTAATTTTGAAATAATTCCAGTTAATAAAGTCGCTAAAATCATCAAAATACCGCATATCGGGAGGTACCGTTATATAGGGGCTATACGAAGACATGGACCTACATGGATCATTATCGAACTTAAGTCGTAGTATCTAATACGAACTTTAAATATTATTTTTGAAATAATTCCGTTTAATAATGTCGCTCAAATCATCAAAACACCGCATATCGGGAGGTACCGTTATATAGGGGCTATACGAAGACATGGACCTATATGGCCAATACCAAAAGACCTGCAGACATAATACACATTTGAGTAAAATTTTATCAACCTACTTCATTTCGTTCGGATGCTAGAGTGATTTCCACAGACGGATAGTCGGACGGACATTGATAAATCGACATAGAATTTCTTGCTGGTGAAGAATATATATACTTTGTGGGGTCTAAAATGTATATTTCGAGGCGTTACAAACGGAATGACAAACTTAATATACCCTCCATACTATGGTGGAGGGTAAAAAAATTAAAATCAGTTAAATATTTAATTAAAATCTTAAAAAAGTGTAGCTAAAATCATCAAAGTACCGATACATGGTGGCCATACGAAGACAGTTTTCTGTCACAGGCTGTAGTACACATTACGAACTTCAAATACGAAATTCCACAAAATTTCGATGAATATTGTACCTAAAATCGTTAAAGAACGGAATATAGGGAGATATCGATATATAGGAGCTACACGAAGACCTGGACCTGCATAGACAATTTTCTGTCACAGGCTGTAGTACCTATTAGGAATTTCAAATACGAAATTCCACAAAATTTCAATGAATATTGTACCTAAAATCGTTACAGAACGGAATATAGGGAGATAACGATATATAGGGGCTACACGAAGACCTGGACCTGCATAGACAATTTTCTGTCACAGGCTGTAGTACCTATTAGGAATTTCAAATACGAAATTCCACACAATTTCGGTGAATATTGTACCTAAAATCGATAAAATACGAAATATATGAAGGTACTGATATATGGGGCCAATGCGAAGATGGTTTGTGTTTAATATTTTTTTGCTTTTGAGACTTCCTGTCTAACACGAAATTGATTGTTCCTTTCATGCATCAGATTCTATTTCCCCGAAAAGTTGTGTTTAAAATCGTTTCCCAGAAATATTGAATATTTTGTTTTGAGTGTTGTTCCTCCCAAAAAGAGAGAGAGAGAGAGAAACGCATAAAAACCTTAGCATAAGTAACCAAACATGAAATGAAGAAATTTCCTTCATCTCATGTTGGTCGGTTGGCGGCTGATGATGTTATTTTACCGCCAGACATTGCTGGATTATTTTTTTTATTTTTTCACAGCAAAATTTTTCCTGCTTTCCTTCTGGTTGTCAGTCAGTAGCCACTGCTATTTGCCAGCAGGCTACCTACCTGGACAACATGCAATATATGTCGATGGAATCTACAGTTTTTTTTTTCAAGAGCTACATATGTATACATTTATAGGTATATGCAAGTCAAATGGTTTTGAACTTACCTTGTTGGGTGACACATGCCATGACCTTCGTGTGCCATGGCGTTGCTGCAAGTTTATGGCTGATGACGATGGTGTCGATGTATTCAGTTGGGTTTGACTGGCGCTAATGCCATTGCCGGCACCAACACCACCACCACTACCGCTGGACCCAGTGCTATTTGAACTGATGCCACTGCTACCGGAACCACTTATAATCGATATATTCTCATAGATATCCGCCGAACATATGGAGCTATTCAGTGTGGCTGTACTCGCCGCCAGGGAGGGGCATGGTGACGATGAGGGCGATGGTGAAAAGCAACCGGAATCGTATGAATTATATATTCTCAAACGATTACCAGGACAAAGACCCTGTTTGTGGTGGCGCAATGGGATGTGAAATAAAAATGAGAATAAGAAAAAAAAAAACAAACATATATAAAAAAGTTAATAGCTGGTGGTTTAAGGATACTTCTTTGTTTAGTTTTAAAGCAAGTAATTTATTTAAGAGTTATTGAACATTGAATTTTAAATTCCGCCTGTCTTAAAGTTTGTTCTGTTGTTTTTTCTTCGGTGTCTTTCTTCAACCTTGAATTGCATTTAAAACCAAATGTTGTTTATTTCAATTTTGTTTATGATGAAGAAGGTTGTTTGCCTTAATTTTTTTGTCTTTTAGACTACCGAATAAACAACCATCCGACTTGAAATTTAAAATACATATTTCTCTTTGCCTTTATCCATAGTCTGACATTTTAATTGAGTAAATTGTATGATCTTGTTTCTTTTTTTACGTTGTCGGTAATGAGGAGGAAATAAAAATCACGCTGCCATTTGTTTAAATTAAACATGTGTTATTTTGCAATCAACTTGGAAAATGTTTTATTCTTCAAAAATATGATGGCATACGAAAATGTGTTTCATTTTTAAGACTTTTTAATATGCTATTAAGGCAAGAATCGAGAGTGTTTAAGGAACATAAAATATAAGTATTTTTTTCGATCTTGAGGAGATGGAAAGACATCTTTTCGAAATTTCCTTTTTATACCCTACACCGCAAGGTGGTCAGGGTATTATGTCTTTGTGCATTTGTGTGTAACAGGCAAAAGGAAACGAGATAGACCCATAGTTCCTTCTGATGATCTGCATAGAATCACTTTCTGAGTTGATTTATGCATGTCAGTCCGTCTGTCCGTCCGTCCGTCCGTCTGTCCATGTATTCTTGTGAACAAACTGCAGGTCGCATTTATTATCCAATTGAGATGAAATTTTCCAAACAACATTTGTTTGGCCCAAGGACGAACCCTATTGAAATTGGAGATAATCGGTAAAAAATTAGATATAGCTCCCATATATATCTTCGTCCGATTTGCCTTTTATTGTGCACCAAACGTGTAATATCAGCCCGAATGGTATGGAATTTTGTACATGCAACCATATTAGGCCTAAAAATAAGCATGCCAAATTTGATCGAAATCGGTTCAGATATAGCTATAGCTCCCATATATATTGTTCATCCGATTTGTTATTTTTGTCCTCCGCAGCCGTAATATGCACTCTGTAACAACAATATTTGGGGAAATATATCAAATGCAGCTCAGAAATACCTTTGCTAAATTTTATCGAGATCGGTTCAGATTTTGATATAGCTCCCATATATAACTTCGTCCGATTTACTTTTTATTGTGCACCAAACGTCTAATACTTGCCCAAATGGGATGGAATTTGGCACATACGACCGAATTGAGTCTAGAAAATTTGGTGAAAATCGGTTTAGATATAACTATAGCTCCCATATATATTGTTCATCCGATTTGTTGTATTTGTTACCCACAGCCGCAATATGCACTCCGTAACAAAGATATTCAGGGAAATATATCAAATACAGCTCAAAAATATCTTTGCCAAATTCTATAGAGATCGGTTCCGATTTGGATATAGCTCCCATATATATCTTTATCTGATTTAGAATTAATTTTGCACCAAATGAGCAATACAAGTCCGAATTTAAAAGATACAAATGCTTCGGCGTATTTAGTCCTTAAAATTTTAAATTATAATTATAATCATAGGGTGTATGATTGAATTCTCCCATAAAAACTTTTACTTGTTATGTGGAGCTCAACTAAATTAGCAAAGTGGTGTAGGGTATCATAAAATCGGCCCAGCCCGACTTTAGGACTTTCTTTACTGGTTTTCAATTCTAGTTCTTATTTCAAAATTGTTCCGCTGAGTACATCAAGAACTAATCTGACGTACAGTAGCCCCAAGCGAAACTCGTACAGTTAAAGAAAAAAAATTTATTTTTCCTATAACTTCCAAAAATAAAAATTATGTTTTTTTTTTACATTTTATTAGTACACTATGTGAGCAATTTAAAAAGCAAAAAAAAAATTAAATTCATTTAAAGTAAAAAAAAAAAATAAATAAATATTAAAATAGATCATATTTCAATACCAAAGCCAAACTCATACACTTTGTATAATTAAAAGTAATATTTTGTAGGCATTCCTTTACATTTTTTTACCATTTGTAGCCTATTTGGCATACTTTTAATAAGTTTTTTACAGAAGCTAGGTACAATTTGTTGCCATTCTTCCAACTGAGCTTTTGCAAGATATGGTATGCTGGCGGATTTTTCCATCGAGATAGCTCCATAAATTCTCTATGGGGTTTATGTCTGGACTCTGAGCTGGTGTATCCATGTCTTGGGTGCAATAATATAGCAGCTATGACCGCACTTTGTAAGCCTTGTGCTTCAGATCATTGTCTTGATAAAAAATAATAGTAAATAACAGTCATCACCAAGGCCGAGCGTTTCCTTACAGAGTGGCAAACTTTCTTTCAAAATGTTAAGGTACACAGTCTGATCCATAATACGTTTAATAAAATGCAATACACCAGCTCTAGAGGCTGAAAATGAACTCCACACCATTACTGACATACTGACATATTTTTGGCAAGGAGCGCTTCATTTGCCTTTCTCCATTCATAAGGACTGCCATCTGAACCAAAAAAGTTGAATTTGCTCTCGTCTGCGAACAGTACATTCTTACAAAATGAAAAATCTTTCTACATGGGTTTATTTGGGCTATAATGGTCAGGTAAATTAAATGAAAATAAAAGAATTTATTTTATGTCTTTTGATATGTGCTTATTGGCAAATCGCAATCTTACTTCTTTATTTCGCATGCTAATTAGAGGTTTATATCTAGCTCTTCTTCCATTGTAATTCGACTTATGCAATATATTTCTTATTATTTGAGGGCAACATACTTTTCCCAAATCCTTTTCAGCAATTTTTGCGAGCTTCGGTGCATTCAAAAATGGACCCTTTTTCATCTGCCGTAAAGTAGACTTCTCATCACTCAAGGTAAATATTTTATTATTATTCGACGTTTTTGACGTATTTTCAACACAACCATCTGTTTTAAACCGTTTTATGATGTACTCAACTGTAGATCGGCTTCTATTAACAATATAAGATATCTCAATTAGCTATTTATTGTTTTTTAAATATTTAATTACTAAATTTTTCACTTCACAAAGGTTTGTACTCGTTGTCTTCCCATTTTCTATTTTTTTTAATATTTACGTCGGTAAATTACACAACACGTGGAAATTTGTGATAAATTAGGTTTTATGGACTTCCTTAAACACATTTTCCAACAATCGCGTGAAGTTGGACGCAGTTCGAAACAGCGTTGCCATATAAATATAAACTGTACGAGTTTAGCTTTTGCATAGAAATTTGGTGTGTTTTAGAATAAATGCCATTATTTTGTTAAATAAATAAAAAACAGTAAACTCTTGTTCTACGGCTAGTTATAGTATCCTATACACATATAAAAAGATATAGGTTCATTCTGGTAGTGAATTTGGTAACAATCATACATTGCATGAAAGAAAATTATTTACTAAGTGTACGTGTTTCGTTTGGAGCTACTAATCGCAACCACACGACATACAAAAATATGTGATTTTCAATCCCTAAATGATAGTTTATATAACATCTAGACATAAAAAGAAAAATTAGAAAAAAAGTGATCCTATATCCCTATATGACAATTACAGCCTGGAATACTTCTCTAATTGAGACTTGGGGTCCTCTTCCGAGAAAGCTACTTCGGAAAGAGGTATCCGCATACCTGCTTCCTGTATTAATGCTAGCGGCTTATACGAACATTTTCATGAAGATTCTGCTTCAATACACATTTTTTAATTCCTTTACAAAGGCAGAAAATTTAAAAAAAAAACTGCCCAAAACCTTCAGCAAACTCCACAACATATTTTACAGTGCTTTACGAAATGAGAATCTCCACTTCCGCTACAGATGCTTTCTGTCACTTGACTCTTTCTATTTTGAATAAAACTGAATTTTATTAGAAGTCTTTTATAATATCGTTTACTTGTAGACAAAAATGAAGATATGGCGATACATAAGCCTCAGCATTCCTTCGAAGAATCCGTCTCGATTTTTAAGGAATATTTTTTTCCTACTCCAATTTTTATATTCTAATTTATGTTTTCTTAATTTGCCTTAATATCCCCAAGGTTTATAATCAATTCCTAAAAAAAATGTGTGAATGCCCGTGTCATTTCTTTCATGGCTTATTTAAAAATTCCTTTTTATCTTCAAATCGTTCTCTTGCATTTTGGTTTGATGTTCCCTTTTTTGATGGGGGGTAATCAAAATAAATTACAAATTTTGTTCTCCTTGGCAATGGAAATGAACTAATTTCATGATTAAACCATGATTTCATTCAAAGTCAAACTACAACAAGCTGCTTCATTTGCGAAAAAAAATGTTCATTTGCGAAGATATTTTTATGCAGGAAATCACTGTTAATTTTGATTGACATACCAAGTCAAAAGTTGATGCAGACACACACATCCATGGGGGTAAGAATACAAGACCACCGCAAAAAAATGTGGTGAACGACTGCAACATCGGGTAAAAGATATTAAGAAACATTGTATGATTACAAGTTTAGATATGTATGTAGGTTTAACTTTTAGCTTGTCTTTAAAGATCTCAAAAAAATGGGAGTTTAAATAAACTTTTAACTTGGCAATGGTTGTGTAACAGGGTGGGTCACAAGGAATCGTGCATTGTGAAAATGGGAAATCCCTACAAAAATATCTCGAGTAGCGTGAAAATAGCCGTCTACATAAAATAATAACCAGAGTAAGAGCGTGAAACTGGCCAAAAAATATATTAAAGAGGTTCACAGACGAAAGCAAGTTTTAAATAAAGTAGCTCCAAAGCAATATATGATTGTTATCAAATGCACTTCCAGGAGAAACCTGTATTTTTTATAAGTGTATAGGGTACTAGAACTAGCCGTAGAACAAAAGTTTACTGTTTTTATTTATTTAACAAAATAATGGCATTTATTCTAAAACTCACCAAATTTCTATGCAAAAGCTACATTTATACGGCAACCCTGTTTCGAACTGCGTCCAACTTCACGCGAGTTTTGAAAATGTATTTGGGGAAGTCCATAAAAGCTAATTTATCACAAATTTCAACGTGATAAATTTCTGACCTAATTATTAAAAAAATGGGAAGACAAGGGGGACAAATCACTGTTTTAAAGTAACCACCACAACTTGATATGTGACATATCTAAAATTGTTAATAGAAGCCGATATATAGTTCAGTACATCAGAAAACGCTTTAAAAAAAGATGAATGTGTAGAAATTAATCAAAAACGACAAATAATAAAATATTTACCTTGAGTGATGAGAAGTCTATTTTATGGCAGATAAAAAAGGAACCATGTTTGAGTACACCGAATCTCGCAAAATTGCGGAAAAGGATTTGGGAAAAGTATGTTGCCCTCAAATAATAAGAAATATACTGCATAAGTCGAATTACAATGGAAGAAAAGCTAGACATAAACCTCTAATCAGCAAGCGAAATCAAGAAGTAAGATTGCTATTTACCAAGGCGCACATATCAAAAGACTTTTCATTTTGGAAGAATGTGCTATTCACGGACGAGAGCAAATTCAGCCTTTTTGGTTCAGATGGCAGACCTTATGTATGGAAAAATGCAAATGAAACGCTCCTTGCTAAAAATGTGAAGCCTAAAGTGAAACACGCGGTGGTGGGTCAGTAATGGTATGGGGTTCATTTTCAGCCTTTGGACCTGGTGTATTGCATTTTATTGAGGGTATATTGGATCAGACTATGTACCTTAACATTTTGAAAGAAAGTTTGCCACTCCGTAAGAAAAAACTCGGCCTTGGCGAAGATAATTACTTTTATCCAGAGAATGATCTGAAACACAAGGCTTATAAGGTGCGGTCATGGCTGCTATATAATTGTCTCCAGGTCATGGATAAACCAGCCCAGAGTCCAGACATAAACCCCGTAGAGAATTTATAGTGCTATCACGATGGAAAAATCCGCCAGCATTCTATATCTTGCAAAGAATATTTGAAGAAAACTTTGTTGAAAAAATGACAAAAAATTGAACCTAGCTTTTGCAAAAACTTGTTAAAAGTATGCCAAATAGGTTACAAATGGTAAAAAAAAAGTGAGTGAATGAATACAAAATATTAATGTCTAGAAATACTTTAAATTATACGAAGTGTACGAGTTTGGGTTTGGCATTGAAATATAATCTCTTTTTATATCTATTTATTATATTTTTAATGAAACAAGTGTTTTTCGAGCTTGAGGTCTTTGTTGTTATATTTATTTTAATCTTCCAATATTTTTTTGTAAATTTTGATTTTTGGAAGTTATAAGCTGTACGAATTTTGCTTGGATCTACTGTATATTGGAATCAGGAGTCGCTAATCTAGTGATAATTGTACAATAATGAGGGAAGAATGTCTTAAGATATTGGAAGAAAATGTTGAGAAGTTGGATCTATCGAAGAGATAGATATGGATATTATAGCGGAATGCTTAGTGGATTTGGAGAAATTAATTTGCTGAGCTTGCTTTCGAATTGAGGTGGATGAAGTATGAACGAAATCAACGATATTATCGGTCGATCGAACAAGTCGAAGTGGCGTTGTTGTCTTTACATTACTAAAACCCAGGTTCGCCAATTTTATCCATTTATCTGTTTAGAGTTGATTCGTTTGGGGAACTATTGGGGCCCCAATATTGGTGCAATTTGTGTACCTTAGACGAAAAACATTCACCAATTCGGAAAAAAACATTTTCACAATGACAATTTTCAGACGTGTAGCGCCCCATTTTAAATAACCTCGTACCTGCGACTAGCAACCAATAACAATTATTCAAATGTCAAACTATGACACTACAAATGGCGCCCAATTTAACAAATTGCTTTCTAAATGGGACGCCCGTTAGCTCTAATGGCTGTTTGAAAAATATTTTTTGGTTCAAAATCCATAACTTCTTTATTGTGCCACCCTTTACGAAAAATTGACCAGCCAAGAACTGGCTAAGTTTGTTTCTGTCATGTCTTGTATGCCGGGGAGTTGAGTATTTTGATGATATGCATCTCTAAAAAAAAACCGCGACTGACTTGTGAAATCGAAACTTGTCCGACACTTACCTGACGTCCGCGTAATGTACACAACCACCAACCGACTAAACCTTCAGTGTCCTGTTCCAACACGGTCAATATGTCGCCCTTGCGAAAGGCCAATTCATCGGGTGAGTCAGCATCATTGTCGTACAAGGCTTTGGCATAGAGTTTCTGAAATGAAAAAAAACAACAAGAAGGCAAACAAAGATTAGATGAGGTTGAGCATTAAACGGGTTATTAATAATAATCTTTTGAGAGTAGCAGCAAACATTTATAAAATTCTCAGAATTTTGTGTTGTTGTTTTTTTTAACAGGAATTTGAAATTCGCATTTCAGGTTTTTTAGAAGTTTTTCTATGGAATTTGAATAAAAATACCTGCAAAAATAAGTAGCAAAAAAATATTAAAACATTTTCAAAACATTATTAAGTTCAGGTATGGAGATGCGAATACTTGCCATTTGATCAGGCTCTACAAATTTTTAATTTGTTCAGATACCCATTTTCTTTACTTTCCATTCTCCAAGTTTCAGTTTTTTTTTTTCAAAATCACACGCTCTTCAGTTGTAAAGCGGAAACTCTTTTTTTATTTGTCAAAAGAAGACGCGTTGTACTTTGACTTTTTAAATAAATCTAAATTGCTTTTAACAATGCGTTGTTTTTTTCTGTTTATTGTTCCATCTCTAGACTTCAGTTTCTGGTTTCAAGTTTAATGGCTTTGCTATTGAAGGCAATTTTCAAAACATTATTAAGTTCAGGTATGGAGATGCGAATACTTGCCATTTGATCAGGCTCTACAAATTTTTAATTTGTTCAGATACCCATTTTCTTTACTTTCCATTCTCCAAGTTTCAGTTTTTTTTTTCAAAACCACACGCTCTTCAGTTGTAAAGCGGAAACTCTTTTTTTATTTGTCAAAAGAAGACGCGTTGTACTTTGACTTTTTAAATAAATCTAAATTGCTTTTAACAATGCGTTGTTTTTTTCTGTTTATTGTTCCATCTCTAGACTTCAGTTTCTGGTTTCAAGTTTAATGGCTTTGCTATTGAAGGCAATTGCTGTGGTGTTTTTGTTTTTTTTTTTTTTTTTTTTTTTTTGATGCCCGTCAAAAAATAAACTTTTTCCTGTGTCACTCTGCGATGAAGAGCGTTAAAAGTGTAACAGGCAACACTTAAAATTTCAATTGTTTTTATGTTTTTGAAAAAAAAAAAAAAAAAACGTCAGACTGCGTCTTTGATTGTTACAAATGTTGACACGAATTTCAAACATACATACATGGGCATTAATGTAGATTATTGTAGTGGGGCAGTGTATGTCTTGTCAAGACAGGGCTTGGTAATTTGCGGTATTTTACAACCCTCGAATTTGACATTATGGGACAAGATACTGGATGATTCATCCAGTCTTTTGTGGTTTTCGAAGGTAGGTCGTTGCAACATTTTTTGAAAGGGATGAAAAGAAAAATTCGATTTTTAAAACGCATTTTCTATGCTAAGAATTAGGAGTTTTTCAATACCCGAAAATATAGTTTTGTTTAGCTTCGAAGTGATCAGGTGAACGAAAAATTTAATCAGAGAATATCTACACATCCACCCAACGAAGCTGTGGGTATTTGAACATGTTTGGCACAACATTTCCGTTCTGTGAGGTATTTCCAAGTTGTGAAAAGAAATCTCACACTTGGGCCAATTTAAGAGAAAGGAAAAATTAAAAATCCTGCATGCATTTAGAAGGAAACAGACAGAAGAGATATATTGGCTATAAAACAATTTAAAAGTGGAAGAGATATAACTTATTACATTCTGCCGAAAATTGGGCGCTAAGCTAGACATATATAAATCATATATTTTATGATCCCATTATATCTGAATTCTGGATCTGCAAATATGGAAGAATCTGAAGGCTAATGGAAGAAACGGGCACCCATTATTACCTGGTGAGATTTTTTATACCATTACAGTCATATGTGAGATCTCGATGCTGATGCTTACTTGTTTGCCAAAAAAAGTGTTGTTTCCGTTTGTTTCTTCCTTCAGAAAAATGTATATAAGTTATTGAATTTCCTATAGCTTCATAGTATCTCACCAGCTTCAATATAGCTCACACGATGTAATTTCATACCTTGATACTCATAGCTCACCAGACTTCAAATGGATTACCTTTTCAGCTTAACCTCCGTTTTATTACCCACATTCAATGTAGTTTCCCAAGATTTATCTGCAGATTACTTTATTTACCAAAACGCTCGCGTATAGCTTGCTAGCTTTAACGCCGTTCAGCGAACTTTCCATAGACCAGCAGATTTAATATAGCTTCTGTAAAATCTTCATCCATCTTCACTATAACTCATAGCTTTACAATGGCCCACACTTTTCAATAACTTCCAACGGTTTCACTATATTTCACATTTCAATATCCTTTCCCTGCAGTTTCCCTACCGAAACCGCCACTTTGGTTAAAAAATCGAAAAAATTCAATTATCTGAAATCAGTTGGGAATATAAGGCATATATAGCCAGAAAGTAATCCTCGGGACCTTTCATTTAAGACCCGCCTCAATGACGCAGCTAGCATAGTTTTTGTGCAATTCAGCATTTTCCATGCAGTTTCCCTACCGCCAAAACCACTCTGGTTATTCGTCCTCGTCGGGAAATTGTGTCATTTTCTGTTAAATTAATTTAATAAATTAATTTAATTTAAATTAATTTAAAAATACGTTGATTTATCAAAAAAAAAAAAAAAAAAAAAAAAAAAAAAAAATGGTAAAAATCATTAATATTAAAAAAAACTATTTTTCAATTAACCCCTTGCGCACCAACACAAAATACAAGTGACTTGTGTCTTTGCATTTATATTTTAAAATTTATCTTCACGGGCATCATATAATGGTATTATTTCGTATTTTGATGATTTTAGCGACATTATTCACCGGAATTGTTTCAAATTCGGCATTTGACGTTCGAAATGAATACTACAGCCTAAGACAGAAAATTGTCTGTGCAGGTCCATGTCTTCATATAGCCCCCATATTACGGTACCTTCCTATATTCGGTACTTTGATGATTTTAGCGTCATTATTCACCGGAGTATTTATTTAGAGTTCGTAATGGGAACTACAGTCTGTGACAGAAAATTGTCTATGCAGGTCCAGGTCTTCGTATATCTCCGATATAACGGTACCTCCCTATATACGGTAATTTGATGTTTTTTAACTTGTTTCTAATTTACCAGTTTCTTTTTAGTTTAACAATTTATTAATGGTTTTTATACCCTACACCACAAGGTGGTCAGGGTATTATGTCTTTGTGCATTTCTTTGTAACAGGCAAAAGGAAACGAGATAGACCCATAGTTCCTTTTGATGATCTGCATAGAATCACTTTCTGAGTTGATTTATGCATGTCAGTCCGTCTGTCCGTCCGTCCGTCTGTCCATGTATTCTTGTGAACAAAATGCAGGTCGCATTTATTATCCGATTGAGATGAAACTTTGCAAACAACATTTGTTTGGCCCAAGGACGAGCCCTACTGAAATTGGAGATAATCGGTAAAAATTTAGATATAGCTCCCATATATATCTTCGTCCGATTTGCTTTTTATTGTGCACCAAACATGTAATATCAGCCCGAATAGTATGAAATATTGTACATACAACCAAATTAGGCCTGAAAATAAGTATGCCAAATTTTATCGAAATCGGTTCAGATATAGCTATAGCTCCCATATATATTGTTCATCCGATTTGATATTTTTGTCCTCCGCAGCCGTAATATGCACTCTGTAACAACAATATTTGGCGAAATATATCAAATGCAGCTCAGAAATACCTTTGCTAAATTTTATCGAGATCGGTTCAGATTTGGATATAGCTCCCATATATAACTTCGTCCGATTTACCATTTATTGTGCACCAAACGTCTAATATTTTTCTAAATTAGATGGAATTTGGCACATACGACCGAATTTAGTCTAGAAGGTAGTATGCCAAATTTGGTGAAGATCGGTTTAGATATAGTTATAGCTCCCATATATATTGTTCATCCGATTTATTGTATTTGTTACCCACAGCCGTAATATGCACTCCGTAACAACGATATTCAGGGAAATATATCAAATACAGCTCAGAAATATCTTTGCCAAGTTTTATCGAGATCGGTTCAGATTTGGATATAGTTCCCATATATATTTTTATCCGATTTCAAATTACCTTCGCACCAAATGGGCAATACAAGTCCGAATTTGAAATATACAAATGCTTCGGCATATTTAGTCCTTTGGAATTTAAATTATAATTATAATCATAGCGTGTATGATTGAATTCTCCCATAAAAACTTTTAATTATTAAGTGGAGCTCAACTAAATTAGCAAAGTGGTGTAGGGTATCATAAAATCGGCCTCGCCCGACTTTAGGACTTTCTTTACTGGTTTATTATTATCGCCCTGTTTCTGTTAGTATTGGAAGCAGAATTACAACTTGCTATAAATCAAACGTGCTCCCCTAATTTCTGGGCTAACTATTGTTTAGCACTTTCATTACAGTTCGTAAGGCTCACTGAAATAAACTAGGTTAAATACATTATGTTAATATTATCCCCCTCGCTTTAGCAAAAAATAATATGACTAATCTGGTCTAGTTCTTCTGGTTAAGCATATTTCGACGGGGTCAATGAAGTCTCCAGGAATATTACGGTTCATAAGGCTCATATGGATTAACTTTAGTTCCAAACGTTCATTTTAGCTGTAGATAGTTCAATAAGTCAGCAGGTTTATTATGAACAACACTTGTGAATATAATATAATTTAATATAATATATAAGTCCACCGAACTCAGCTTGGTTCACCAGGGTCACAATAATCATTTGTAGCCGATTTAAACGTTGTTTATTTATTTTCGTACTTTTTTGATAATCTTAAATAAAATTGGCCATTGTTTTCGAAAATTTCAATTGACAACAAAATATTCAATTAATTGTCGCAAGTTATCAGCAGCGATTCCAGTGTCATTTGATTACAGTTATATCAAAGGGAGATACAAATAAAGAACAATGGAATTCTAGAATTTCTCAATGATATTTAATTCATTTTATGGAAATCCAATAAGTGATCTTCCATGATTCATCATAAAAAATATGCAAAACGTGAACTTTGAGTCGTGGATTACCACGACAAATTTGA